ATAGGTGATACTCGTAACCGTAACACAACACAGAGCCGCTCTGGAACACAATCTTATCATTAGATGTTAGTGTGGATGAGATGAGATAGTAGCTAGCAGTGCTAGCCTAGCACACGGTGACTCACATGCGACTTTATGCTATACTGAGCTCTGTCCAGTCATATGAACGCATGATACAACGGAGTCATCGAAAACTCAGCTTAATAATACACTGCATTGAAGAGATTGGAGCGAGTCGGGCGAACGATTATGGACCTAATCGGGTAGACTACCCGTACTAAGTAGCAAATTGCACACGATATCTCGTGAATAGTCGACACATCTATCCATCTCTCTCTGTCCCCTTGTGCCAGTGTTACCAGCGCTGGCCCTGTTGATCGATATCCTAAGCTCTGCTTAGCTTCTATGTGATATAGTCTAGCGTTGCCTATGGCAACTTGCCATACTACTCGATAACTATCTAATCATTTCCCTATGACTGAGACAAGTGTTACTTCAAGTGGGGGTGAGGGAGGCAAGACGAACAAAGACCAGCAGCAAAATCGAACTCCGGATACGAATTCATAAACCAGATGGGTCTCCATGAATTGCAGATCGAGATGGCGAATCGTTCCCTCATGCAGGCTCTACTGTATATCCATGTTGAGTTTAGTCTTTAAACTTATCTGACTTAGAGTCTCCAAGTTAGAGGACCCGACGCTTCGCTCCAGGAGTCTCAAGCTCGCTTTTGCACAGTAGAAGCAGACAGTTAGTGGAACCCTAAGGCCTACTTCGCAAGAAACGCTCCTTAAGGTGTACCTTTAATTTGAGAGCAAGGGACAAGGAGACTTACACCTTACGCGAGGTGCTTTCACTACAGTTGCACATCGTGCTCCGTACTTTCAAGTTGAAGATGCATCTCGTGGACCTCAGTAAGGAGCACGAGGAGCCCTTCTGTTCCTTCTTAGAGGAAAGTCGTAGTAGACTAAGCACTCAACAAGTGCCGAAGTGATGAAAGCCGTAAAGCTTCTTATGAAAACTGAGCTACGTTCGTACGCAAACTCAATGAGCGGAGCGAAGTGATTTTCTTTCCATGAAATGGAACACTTCAACAAATACCGGCGCGTATGAAAAAGTCGACGCAGTGCCCCGATGAAGCTCGAAAATAAGGCTATGGCCATTGAGTAGAGCAAACTCAAAAACACTACCATCAACTCGCTTGAGAACAATCGGTCATCACCGTAAAACTCTAAAATGCCAAGTCGGATATGCAATCTGATTGCTTGGTTCAGGGACAGAGCATCCGCGTTCGAGTGTCTCGCCGCGAGACGCGTGGTCTGGCGGGAAAAAGCGGAGCGAACAACCGAGAATGGTAAGGCCGGTGGCACGGTGCCACTGGCACCGGACCGGTACGATAAGGTGCCATAATGTGCCACCAGGTCTATTCCCTACTCGACACTTGTTGCAGAATGATGTCGCAGAATGCACACGTGCTTCGTTATGTACGAGTTAAGGCGCCTTAAATTAAGGAGCAACTTAAAGAGTTACTTAAGGTGTAGTATACCTCAAGTTTCCCCTTAAGTACGCATGTTGTGGAATGCTTCTCGTAAATACTTGAGTATATGCACAGAAACTTGAGGCGAATTGAGTCTGCAACACCGCGTTGCCAACACGCAATATTCTATGCGCATGCGTGCTCAACGATCAAGTTAATTGCTCGCTTGTGAGTTGAATAGTTATTATGCGTAATTATCATATGGTTTGCGTAATTGGGAGTTTCTGAGTCTTCCCTATGCCTCCTCTATCCTCAGGAAGTTTTCCGGCTCTAACTCTGAATCGTAAGGCTCTAACAGCGCCAAGTTTGCGCCGCCAACCGTTCCCTAATCTAGCTAAGCTGCACTGTCTTCTTGGACTCTATCAAACTCAAAGTAACTGTTGCTCGTGAGTGGAGCCTGCAACACATGGATGCTGGGCTACGGGGGAGCCCTTGACCGTATTATCCCTCCCCTCGAGGGATGTTACGGAGTCGACCATTTCGCCGATCTCCTGTCCAACGGGCTGTAAAATGTTCTCGCAGACCAACGACTAGCATTCCCCCTCACCGTGAGGGCCTCACGAAAACATCCTTCGGGGGATAGACCCTTTTCTCACTCTTTTAGCAGCAGGCATATCTTGGTCTGACAACTCCGAACTGTCCAATCTCCACATTTTTAATGTAATTAGAGTTTCATAAGCAACAGAGCGATGCTTTGCTCGTCGTCGAGGTCGCTCTACTTGTGGCAGAATTTGTGCTCGCGTACAAACGGACGGAAGGACACACACACGCGCGCAGACGAACAACCGCGAACTGTAATGTATACTAGGCTCGTTTTGCTCGCTCCGCCTCTATTATTGCATCATCCCGTCTCCACTATGCCTCCTCCACCCTCGGAAAGTCTTCTGACTCTAACTAAGAATCACAAAGCTCTCATCTCCGTTATTGCGTGACACGCAATGCGTGCAAATGGGGCGTCACATTAGCAGTTTGACGCATACACAATTCCGGTTGACATTTCAAGAGTGTATCCAATACTTCCATGATGAGAATGATGCTCCTGATATTCGTTTGTGGCTTTGCACCTTTCGTCGAAAGCTCGATCAAGCTGAGGCGAGCAGCAGGTTCGCCGATCTCCTACCCAAAAGGTTGTACTGGTGCTCACAAGCCTGCTACTGAGCCTTTCTGTGCCACGGGCACTATAGGCTTTGCGGGGATGTTCACGGTGAATATGACAGTTTATGTCTTTGACATCAATGATCCCACCAAGTCGGTACACTTCCACGTTGAGTTGGCAACTCATGGTGTAAAACCGACTGGTCTCAATATCACGGGTGGGGGCAGCGCTGAGGTGGTGAAGAAGGAGGAGCTTGGCGGGGCAGTCGCCGGTTCTGTCACTATAGAGGCTAATACTGTGGGGGACGGCAGAGGCAAGTACGACCCGAAAACTGATACATGGACGGCTGACATCGGGATAAAAGCGACTGTCGAAGGCGATGTTTTCGGTCACGATGCAATCAACTTGCCTATCTCTAAAGTCGTCACGGCTCATATCGGGCCCAACTCCGACTTCGGGATGGAGGCCCTTTTCAAGGAGACCACTGGGGATTCAAATAATCAAGGCATCTCGATCGCCTTTGACCTTACGATGAATACCAAAAACCACGACCTTTTCACTTGGGAACTCATCGGGGAAGGTCAGCTCCATGTTTGGTTACATCCACTCGTCAATTGGAAACCCTCTATCGATGTTATTCATAAGGAGTTCAAGATTAAGCTATGAGCTCAGAACGCGTGGCAAAGAACTAGTCTTGATTCTGTTTCGCGAGTCGATTCGACTTGCTGACTCGGTTTTGTTACCTTTGGCCTTTTTTCTCGGATATAAGAGATTATCGACCATACCGGCTGTGTGTTGAATTGAAATCCAGTTCCCGTTCGTGCTGTAGATTGTTCTGATAAACTCACGACTCAGAGAAGCTGATCTCCAACTAGTTACATGAAGGTAGCTACAGCGTTCTCTGTCGACCCGCCGAGTCGAGCCGACTCAGTCAATTGATGCTGACCTTATGTTGAGTGAAAAACATCTGCGAGGACCTTCTCGAGTGCTTCCCAAGTTCCAAGTTCGTTGGAAAACTTCGATTCGAATGAGGTCCCCGAACCGGCCTAAAATGTTTCGAGTGATGATACGAGCGCAGATCACATCTGCTGAAGCTGGGCAATGCCCAGTGGGCATTGACCCTAATACTTGCTCTCAACAATTCCTTCGTCTGAGACTGCAGGTTTAAGGCGGTGTTCTTGTCAAACTCAGAGCATTGAGATCGCTCGCGATTGTAGACGGGGCCTATGGAGAATACTGTGTCTGAGGTCGCCGAAATTTGAGGAGATTATTCCTCGTATAGAACTTATATGTTGTACACTGTGTACAGTGAGCACTACTACAGTAGTACACAGTGTGTACCACACAGGGCTCTACTATAAGAACTGCGCTAGTCAAAACCACACGCTCGCAACAGAGCGCATTCGATGAGTTACGTAGCCCAGATGACGCCTGACCGGAAGAGATGTTCAGAAGCCATTGTCGGGAGGGGAAGAATGCTGTTTAGTCAGCATCTTTGACCAAATTGGTCAAAGATTTATTGTGTGAGAATCCTATTACTGAAGGTGCTCTAACCACCCTGGTTTCCAACCTAGTGAACAACGATCTCACTACTGTCGACTTCCTAGCTTAGGCCCCGGTAACCCTGGTTGATGCTGAGCTCAATATCTACGACTCGTAGACTACGAGGGCGCAGCCGCCAAGGCCTCAGCGCGCCTCAGACTTGACGTTATCAACGATAACTTATCATTGAAGAGGCGCAAGCACGCCGATCTTTGAAGCGTAAACGAGCGGAAAAGGAAGTCGAAGTGTTCAATATGACGGCTGGTCTAAAAAATCTTCAAGGTCATGCTGGCCCTTTGGCACTCAAAGCTCCTCCTGAACTCATGCCACAGAGCCGCTTCCTGAACAAATTGAAGCAGGACCCCTACAGCTACGTCCTCTTGTCTGATCTGCAAGTGGCCAAAGATGTGGTAGACACATCAGTCACGACCAAGGAAAATCTCGAAACCGATACACAATTCAGAAAGAGTGAGACTTGGCTCAACCGCCCAAGATCATCCCCTCTCCCAAGTGATCAAGCTGCAGCACTTGCTGGGACCCTATGGGAGTCATCCGACTCAAGCTTGCAGATTGACCACTTCATCATCAACTCCAGAGCCCTGTCTACCCAGAAGAGCTCCAACTCTGCCTTAGCTCTGTTCTCGAAGTGTTTGCCCAAAAGCGGAGCCGCTTTCCCACTAAAATTACACTTAGTGATTGGTTTTCTCATGACAATGTCTAACTAGGGCGAGAGCCCCTAGGCACACATTCACTCCGACGCACTGGCTATCAACTGTTGCACCGAGCAGGCTTCTCGATGTGGGCCATAATGGAGTATGGTCGATGGACCAGTTCTGCAGTTGAGCAATATCTAACAGGAGTGACACTATCATCGGCCCCCAGGCTGGGGGCCCCAGCTACTCCAGCAAAATGGTAACCGCAATTGACTCGATCAACCACCAAGACCTTATTTAAAAACGTCGATGTCTAGCTCAGAGTCTGTCGATGGACAATGATACGGAGAAGTCTCCGTGACGTGGTCAGTATCTCTACGGGTGCATCATGCTCCGATACGTCAAGTATTTAACGCATGTTGTTTGAGTGTGTAAGTTTCACTTGCGCACTCGAGATACAACCACACACTCGAATCTCAAGTGATCTGTAAACCGAAGTGTCGTAGTAAGACACTAACAGCTTGTAATCAGACCTTCTGATGTACTATTTATTCTTGAGTTACATCTGGGCGAGGGTAGGTGCGCTTAAACGCGCGCAATATCGTGACGTGGCACGTGCACGATCAGCCACGTTCACTGCACCCTTCCCCATGAGGCATCAATTGCTAAGTCTTTTCGGCGTCGTTACGGGTTATGACCCTACATTTTTCTGTGTAGCCTCTCATATCCCATCTTCTGATGCCCAACTCACACAACCTATTCGAGACCCCATCTTCAGAGGCGGAGGGGTTGAGTTGCCACCAGTTATTCCGGGGTTTGAGCCGGGCGACGCTACAGTCTCTCATCCCTAGTCTGCGACACCACGTTGCCAACACGCAATATACTATAAGCATGCGTACCCAACGATCAAGTTAATTGCTCGCTTGTGAGTTGAATAGCTATTATGCGTAATTATCATATGGTTTGCGTAACTGTTAGTTTCTGAGACTTCTCTATGCCTCCTCCTCCCTCAGAAAGTATTCTGGCTCTAACTAAGAATCACAAAGCTCTCATCTCCGCCATTGCGTGGCACGCAATGCGTGCAAATGGGGCGTCACACTAGCAGAATGATGCTCCTGATATTCGTTTGTGGCTTCGCACCTTTCGTCGAAAGCTCGATCAAGCTGAGACAGGCAGCAGGTTCGCCGGTCTCCTACCCAGAAGGGTGTACCGGTGCTCACAAGCCTGCTACTGAGCCTTTCTGTGCCACGGGCACTATAGGTCGTGTGGGGATGTTCACGGTGAATATGACACTTTATCTCTTTGACATCAATGATCCCACCAAGTCGGTACACTTCCACGTTGAGTTGGCAACTCGTGCTAAGAAGCCGGTTGGTCTCAATATCACGGGTGGGGGCAGCGCTGAAGTGGTGAAGAAGGAGGGGCTTGGCGGGGCAGTCGCCGGTTCTGTCACTATAGAGGCTAATACTGTGGGGGACGGCAGAGGCAAGTACGACCCGAAAACTGATACATGGACGGCTGACATCGGGATAAAAGCGACTGTCGAAGGCGGTGTTCTCGGTCTTGATACAATCAACTTGCCTATCTCTAACGTCGCCACGGCTCATATCGGGCCCAACTACGACTTCGGGATACAGGCCCTTTTCAAGAAGACCACTGGGTATTCAAATAATCAAGGCATCTCGATCGCCTTTGACCTCACGATGAATACCAAAAACGACATTTTCACTTGGGAACTCATCGGGGAAGGTGGGTTCCATATTTGGTTACATCCACTCGTCAATTGGGCACGCTCTATCGACGTTATTCATAAGGAGTTCAAGTTTGAGCTATGAATTCAGAACGCATGGCAAAGAACTAGACTTCATCCTGTTCACGAGTTCTCTTGGCGGATCGACTGAGTCGACTCGACCTGCTTACTCATTTTGGTCATCTTCTTTCATCTTTTCTTTGGTCTTTTTCTGAATAACAGTTTATCGACCATACCGGCTGTGTTGAATTGAAATCCAGTTCCCGTTCGTGCTGTAGAATGTTCTGGTAAACTCACGACTCAGAGGAGCTGCTGATTTTCAACTAGTTACATGAGGGTAGGCTACCTTAGGTAGCTACAATGTCCTCTGTCGACCCGCTAAGTCGAGCCGACTCAGTCGACTGATTCTGATCTTATGTTGAGTGGAAGACATCTGCGAGGACCTCCTAGAGTGCTTCCTAAGCTCCAAGTCCTAAAATTTTTCGAGTGATGATACGAGCGCGGATCACATCAGCTGAAGCTGGGCACCGACCCTAATACTGGTTCTCAACAATACTGGCGCCCATTATCATTAGGCGCGCCTTGATTAAATTAAACTCCTAAACTTTCAAATAAACCATGTATAATATTAATTTTCCGGGTATTTTATTAAAGCCATGGGTAAAACGTTAATTAAAAAGGTAAAACATTAACCAAATGGGTAAAAAATTAATTTGACCTGGAAATGCTGTAGTTGTGGCCCCTCTTCGGCTCGGCGATGACCCCCACTTACCGTGGGTATAGCCTTACAACTGGCAAGTCAGCGCAAATTGATTTCGTAGAAACCAGTCAATATGATGACAATTGTAATCCCTCAATGAATATGAAGTTACTTCTTCTTCTTCCCGCCCGCCATTATAGCGGCTGCCGCCTTCCGACTGACAGTCTTGTTCTTCCCCGCGTACTTCTTCTTATCATTCTTACTCATAGCGCTCGTATTTTGGCATCCCTCACCACCTTCCCAATGACTGATCAGTAAACCATCATCAACCAACGAATGCTTCCCCCTTACCTAGTGCGTATCTTGTTCAGTGGCCTTCCACACTTCCTGCATGGTCCTGGCCCGAAGTTCTGTTCGGTAGCGCACCATCCACACAGCATACGCTTAGCCCACACGGCATGATGGTCGGGCCAGGCCGCATCATGGCACTGATCGCAGGGGTATGCCATCCCACAGCAAGGGAATCGGAGCCATCGGTAGGAATGTCGATAATGCTTACATGTACCATTCTTGGGCAAAGGCTTACCTAATGGAAGATGCAGGCATCGAGGAGCAGTCACTTTAATGATAACCACAATACAACTTGTCGAACCGTCAGAACATGAACTAGAAAATGCGACGAATTACATGAGGTCACACTACTGTTGACTCAGACTGTAGTGAACTGTGCCTCAATGGTCTATTCACAACTACTACCGCTGCGGTAGTACCGCATCCTTCTAGCACTATCATCACGCCGCTCCTGGGAACAAGTACAGCTGGCAAGGTAATGAAAAGCGGACGGCTGTTTGACTTTTAGTGAAGTTGTTCAGATTGCCGTTGAAGGCTGCATTGGGCCAGGCTCACAGGAGACTGGTTCTGGTCAGTCGCAGAGCCTCACGTCCTCGTCTCAGCTGCACATCAGTCTTCGGAGCATCCCTTTGTCACCTGGAACGACTAGTCTAGCGGTTAGTGATTATCC